CAACGCATGTAGCCACGAGCGCTCAGCTCGCATCCCATGAGATTAAGTATTATTCGAAGATCAAGCATTGGAATCAAATGTTTTTATTAATGCTCAAATATTACACTAGAAAGGATAAAAAAAAAACAATTTTTCTAATATTTTTAACAAATTGTTCAGTTCAACTTGATATTACAATGGAAAAAATTTGACTGTAGATATACATTGCATTTAACTTGCACGTACTAAAATATGAAGAGAAATTATTGAAAATTGTGCACCAGAAAACTGCGAATTTTTTTTTACACAAAAAAAATTTATTGCCTGGCCCTGTTAACGAAAAAGTGGATAAATCCAGTTGCAAAATATGGAAAAACTAGTGGTTCTAAAATAGCACTTACTTTCTCGCATTCAATAATACATAATACTTTTTATACAAGGTATGTATGATATTTTTTAAATAAATTACAAAAATGATTGAATGTTTGTTTATTTGAAATTTTAGTTATTTGTTTTCTTTTACATTAAGCTCCTCAGAGATTTCAAAAACAAAAACGAACTTCAGGCCAAAATCAAACCAAGTGCTGGTCAGCATGTGCGTAGATGACTAATATATGCATCACTGGTAAACATGTCTTCCGTAGCAGTTATAGCGCAAATCATCTTAAAGACACCATCCTTGCATTTTCCACTGATGTTGGCCTAAAATGCTCCAAGATGAAATCCACATTCATCATTTTTTCCAGGAAACGATTCATCACAATTCAAATGATTCACCATGATTCAGAAGACCCTATCCCTGAACATGGATGAATATAATATAAAACAACATAAAACCTTCTTAGAGTCTTAGGTCTGATATTTAATAAAAGGCTATCCTGAATACCTCACACTAAAATCCTGAAGGTGAAATGCACCAAAAGGCAAAATCTAATGAAAATCATACGTCACTAATCGTAAGGGGCCAATTATACAGTACTTACAAAAACATACATAAATACATGATCAGAGCTAAAATGGATCACGGCATCATATTCTACGATGCTGCAAATAAGGATATTAAAAGAATATTCAACTATCAATAACACTGGTGCCACACATATGCAGAGTCTGACATGCTTAAGTCTGGTGATAAGCATGTTACAGGAAGCTAATTTACTACCCCTGGATAAAAGAAGAAGAAATCTAATTTACAGCGAACTGCGGCAACCCAATGAACCAAATTTACCAGCTTACTGACAGAACGAAACTATGCTTCAAAAAGAAACAACCAAACTCAATTGCTGTACGGACTATACAAATACTAGCACAAATTAGAAACCATTCCACTGATTATACCTATTGGTATCAGTGACTATGTACCATGAACTATGCAGAACATTTAATCTGAGAAGCTGATAAACACTTTCAAGAAGTCAAAAACTCACAACCAAGAGATAAGAGCCAGAATAGGAGAAAGAATTTCCCAAATATCAGAACTACAACAAAGTTTACACAGATGGTCTGCACAGATGCAAGTTGGTGGGATGTGCCGCTGTAACACCAACAAGAGTAATCTCAAGCGAAGTGCCCAACAAGTACTCTGTTTTATCCAGTGAGTTACATGCCATCATCATACACTACACTACATTACATTCTCAAAGGCAGTGAACGCAAATTTCTTATAGTAACAGACTCCAAATTGGCTCTGTTGGCTATTGGAAATGTCTTTACTCTGGAAATCAGTTAGCCTTAGACATTTTTAGTATAAGGGACTCTTAACATAAAAGGAAAAGAGATTGTTTTTGGATGGATCCCAGCTCATGTGGGTATCATCGAGAATGAGTTGGCAGACACATCTGGAAAGAGATATCACAACTTGAAGAAAGAAGTAACCATAATACCACAAACATATCACGCCATCATGAGAAAACTGTAAGAATGCTCAAACATACATGCCCCTCTGATCACTTGGAAAATGGTTGTATTGTGTAATGGGTGTAATGTTTCTATTTACAATAATCATCTTTCTGTGCCCCAGTTTTAAGGGCGACCAGACAATACTTTGTGTCAATAACAACATGACAAAAGTAATAAAGAACAAAGAACAATGCAGTCGTTTTCTCAATCTTTTGAAGGGCATAAACTTGTACAGTGATATATAAGAAAAATGTACAAACTGGTTAATATTGTGATATGAATGTCCCCTCCCCAAGTCTCATAACACTCCACGCACAAAAACAATGTTATTGTGTAGATGTTGCTAATAACCTTTTGCAGTTGATGTGACATAAATATATTAAAAAAGAGCTCAAACGTTTTTTTATTACATTTTCTTGTTTGATAGTATGACGGGCATTCATGTGAATGGCACGGGTCTCATTTTTGTTGAAAACCCTAATTTTACAAAAATTGCAAAAATTCAAAAATTGTTCTACATTCTAATTTCTATCCGCCAAAATTTGTATTTTTATTATATCCATCAAATTTCACTTAGTGGTAAGATTTTTTAGAAGAGAAGATCTTTCAGTAGCTTCCGGTACACCAAAAGAAGTGTAAGAACTCTTGTTAACTTATCACTTGTTTGGAACGAAGTACGCTACACCCAGTGTAACCAACTTGCTCCTTTTCGTCACCCGATCCTCTAAAAAACGTGTGGACATCTGCCTTTAGGCTAACTATGGCTTGAAAAAATGATAAATGAAAATATATCACAAAAAAATGGAATTTCCTTTTAAAACAACTGATTTTTCAAACAAATCAGACAAAAACCTCATAGTTGGCGAACATATAAAACCTGCAAAGGAAAACGGTCATTCAACTGGTGTGGATGAACATGTCAATGCATTTCAAATACAAGTATTTAAATGCTCTCTAACCCTGTTCATTACAAATTGTACAATCTGGTGAAAAAACTAAATATTGTCAAGCAAATATCAACACAAATTTCACAGTTATGACTGCATAATAATACACATATGTTTCAATAATCAGACCTAATTCATAAGTTCTAGAGTCATTATAGAATTCTAATCTGATATTCTCCTAAAACTAGCAGTATTTCAAAAAGGTTTTACATAATTTTTAAAAGATATATGCGTATGTATAACAAAAGTATTGGTTTCATATGTTAAATGTATAACAAAAGATCAAATGTAAATATATCTAAAAATATCCTTAATTTTAGATTACTAATGTGCAAAATTTACATCCCTACAGGGACAAAAAAAGGTTTGGCATAATGGCTCACTTTGGCATATGTCTGGCCAGTTAATAAAATTAATGCAATATTCAATTCCAGTTATTCATTTTTCTTATTCATTGTTTCCCCTTCAGACCCCTGAAAAAATGTATAAGTGAAGTTTTCTACTGTACATGAAAACCATACTTTGCATAAAATACTTTGAACATTTTACATGATGCAGCTCAAGCAGATGAATTCTACACAAAATTTAAGCTTTATGCAATTTTGTTAACTTTTTCACATCTGCTCCAACGTTGAAACATTTCATTCAGGAAAAATCTAACATCCTCTCTAAGCCACCCTGCTTTGAAACTGACTGTGTGATATAGAAAATGTAGAGAAAAGTTTATATATAATTTACAAAATGAAGAGAAAGAAGGAATATTTTTATGTAAAATATTCAATAGCCCAATTGATCCACAATTTTATTATGAAACACTTTTTGGTGACTGCCTAACATCAATAAAAATTGAGAAACAAACAATAATTAGGAAAATCTTAACAATTCACTATTCTTAATTGCTAATAAAATAAAAATATTTTGTTCACTTTAAGTTTACTTACCTTTCTTACATCTTGATAAAACATGTGAAAAAACAATAATGTCTCATTTATGCACTTTCGCAATTTGGCAGCACGATTAGGTCTTGTATAGCATTCTTTCACTTTTTCTGATACATATCTGAAAACATATATGAAATGAAATAAGCAATTTTCAAAAATCTTTTAAATAAAAACAAACATTGTTAACCAAAATTGCACATTTTCTTACAACATAGAGCAGAAGTATTACTTTTAAATATTGACAGAAATTAATATTAAAGAAATGCTTTTTACACAAAATCAGATTCAATAGAATTGCTCGTTTCCAATAATCCAGCAATTTTAAGCAGTTAGAACCAAAAGATAAATATCTCTAGTCGAAATATTAGCATTCCTGTTTCTTCAATAAAAGCGTGTATTTAGACATGTTGTCCCAAAAGAAATACAGTGGTGTTTCTACTTAGCACAGACGTTCTCTTACAGATATACACTGGTCACCAGAGTAGCTCCGTTTCTCTTGCTATTACCAGACTTTTCTGCCTTAAAAGCATTTACATGGCCAAGCAAGTGTAAAAGGTGAAGTGTTTCAGTTATCACAAATTCAAAAAGCTTGGGTATTGATACTTAGGATTGAGATTGGTCAGACAAACATTCAAACAACTAACCTGATCTGTGGGTGGGAGTACTAAAACGACTTCCAGATACATGGGAATGATCCTTCTTGTACGAATTTGCAAAATCAAGTATGTAAACTAAGGGTTATGTTAGCAATTAATTTCTTCAAGAATACTGGTGGCATTAAATCAGGTCAGACACCTTTCTTCACATTTAACTTTAAAATCACACAATAAATAAAGTTATGAAATGCCCATACAACCCATGTTGACAATAGATTTATTTCCAACGTACTGATATTTAGAGATTATCAACATACACAGATTCAAAAACGTTTGCATGAAGGTTTATGACCTCTTGTCCAGTATGAGCATTTAAATTTTGATAAAACATCATGTTTGGTAGGCCAGCCAGAAAGACACTGGTTTTTGTTTGATGGAATTTTCAGTATAACAATATCTTTTCTATAATCTTCCATATTTTTATTTTTACAAATCATACGTAAATTGAAAAAACTATCAAAATTAAAACTATTTTTAGTAAATGTTTAAGTTTTGTGTGTAAAATATTTTTCTTTCAATTCTTTTTGGCTCATTAGTATACCAGTAGGATAGTTTGACATTTGGATGTCTGGAAATTTGATAATTTTTTTGACATCAATTCCAAACAAAAGTAAAAGGTCCATTTATGATAAACACATTGAATAATTTAACATTCATATATAGAGGTTAATTTCAAACTCAGTAAATTCTTTTTTTTTCTCTTTTCTTTATCTGAAATTTAGTTATCAGTTCCAGGCTAATCTAAGTTTTGTAACCTACCTTCTCAAGTATCTTAAAATGAAAATCCACCTACATAATATCATTTCAAAAAGCTGGTGACGAAAACTGTATATCAATTGTAGACCTATTACAACCTCGAGTATTATACCTAAATTGTTTGAATCCATTATCATTATAAAATTTGGTTATCTGACCCATCCCTTTCTCTCAGAGAAACAATTTGGTTTTCGGAAAGAAAAAAAACTTCGAACTGAACATTGTTAGGTATTCATTTTATCTTACAGGCAATGGATAGTAATTCAGGGTTGACAATAATTAAACTTATTTTAGCAGGGCTTTCAACTCTAATTCTTCGATTCTCGAATCAAAATTCCAGCATATTGAGATGTGGACTACTGTTACAGTGGTTCAATATTTGTCAAACTGGAAGAGTGCAATATGTGGCCAATAGAAATACAACATCTTGTACTATTCAAGATTCATCCTGAGTACCAAAGAGTTATCATTTTGGCCCAATTAAAAAATCCAACAATCCTTAATTATTAAAATTATTAAAAAATTGATAGATCTGTTTTAATCTTGAATCATTGAAAATATAAGAACGGTGTGTCATGTCATTATATTTATTTAATTGCTCATGGAAAACACTATTTACTTTCTTAAAATAAAACAATGCGTAGCCTTAATTTTGGTATTGTCCCTATGCATGTTTAATAATTAAAAATACTTATAGACTTGTTGTCAGTAGAGGCCTATTAGGAATATGGTTGCTTTCTGTTAATGACACCCTTGAACCACTTGGTTAAATCATGCATTCCTTCCCATAAAAACCCATTTTTATTTCGAAATTCAGCAAAAAGAGATTCACACGTGCTTGGTTCCTTTTTTTCCTCTGCTGTCAGCGGTAAGAAACGGCAACAAAATCACTCCAAAGTTTCCAATGCCAAAAATCCAAGTAAACATGAGTAAATTAATAATTCATGAAATAAACCAGGTCACCAAATAGTTGAGAAAACACAAGAAAAGGAAGTACAGTCCAATTAAATAAGACAATGATACAATGAAGCGAAACATAAGAACAGATCATTCTTATTCGTCTGTTTTCACATCTCTCCACGGTTTAGCGGTTGCCATGGAAACTACACCTCACTTATTCCACCCACGAGTTATTCCATGTTTATTGGTAGGCTTTTCACAATAATTCTGCTACTCTTGGCTGAAGCACAGAATACAATTTACATCACATTTATTAACAAGGTCGATAGAGAACAGATGCAGCAAACAGACTATAAAGTAAAACACTGCAATGGTATTGCCATCTGAGAAGAATGTCATATTCTACATGACCTAAGGGTGTCCTTAATTAGTCTCCTCCAGAAAGATTGAAAAGAGGAAGGTCTCTCAAATCCTGGAATTCAGAAGTAAGTAAAGCCACGCATGAAATAAGAATGGAAAATCTATGGGCTGATAGAGAAGGCTGGAACCGCAAAAAAAAAAAAGACAACCGCCAACAAGTGGAAGAGCTGCTAAAAGCAACCAGTGACTATGAATTGGATTTGGTACCCGTGTTTTGCTGTCCTTATAAAACACCTGGAAATGGTATAACATTCCCCCCCCCCTCAGAACTGCGGCAGAATTGTGCCATGGAACTTGATGGCCCTTATACCATTTGTAAGTATGAGATGATCAGATCGATGAGAATATGTCAGATTGAAACGTGATTGGTATCACATCGCTAAGATTATGTAGGGATGTTGCAGATTTAATTTCCCTCAGGAAATTACTCAATGGCAACTTTGATTGCCCTTTTCTGCTTGGACAAATGAACTTAAGTCCAATCATTTAATTCTAGACCAACTGATCAATTTTTGCTTTGTCAGAGCAACAATTTGTATTGAACTTACACACCATTTGTTATCTGAATATTATGTTTTATTTATTGGCATTATGTTATTGCCATAACATATTGTTCATTATGTTAGCACCAATTTGGGCCATATCAGATTGTACTGTTGCCTGTTGTATATTACCCTAAATAAATAAATTTAAAAAATGTACATATGATTGAATGAGTGATGAGTTGATATCTTCCAGAGAAATATAATCACTTTTTGTCAGCGTTTATGGTAAAAATATTAATGTGATTTTGAGCACTGTATATTTTTCACGGTTAGCACCAGTTACTAAATACCAAACATTTGGTGAATCTATTGTTACAATGGACATGGAACATGCTGTAATACATTGGTTATTAGTTGGGGATTACAATCTATCAAATGTAGAATGGAACATTGAAGAGAATTCATCTTTTCCTGTTCTTGACAACACTACTTCATGCAAGAGTCTGTGTTCATGCTCTTACTGAGTCGTTATCTAGTATTAGTTTATATGAACTTACCTCTTTAAAGAATCACAATTTGAAGTTCTCCTTGATCTCACATTTTCAAATAGAGATGTGCACAGTGTTTTTGCTGGGATTGAATGCATAGCGACTGCTGATGCGTATCATCCCCCACTCTGTATTGATTTCATTTCAGGAAAAGATGAATAAGTCTACTCTGTATGATTATTGGTTTCACGACTTTAAATCTGGCAATTATGATAGTATTGTTATATTTTTAGCCAACTTATATTCTTATCTACTAACGAGAAATGATTTATGTGGGGCGGTGTTAATATCGGAATTTTACTATGTTGACTTTTGTATTGAACTGTATGTTCCATTAAAAAGTGGAAGAAATTCTAGTTTTCCTATTTGGTACAGTGGTGAGCTCATTTCATATCTTGTACGCAAAAAAGAGGCTCACTTATGTCACATTAAAATAGATTTGCTTATGCATTATACCTTATTCTCTAATCTGAGACACTGTTGTTAAGAATTAGCCAACTGTGATTTTGATAATTATAATACTCAAATTCAGAAGCAACTGAGTCCAAAGTATTTTTAGAGATTTATGAACTCAAAGAAAACCTGAAATTCTCTGCCATATTTATGCAGAGAAATAGTATGTCTTTTGTTGACAGTAAACCAATTGCTAATGAATTTGTGTTCTATTTTTCTAATTTTTAAACTCGTCCATTGAACCAAGTTGGTAATTTTCCTCTCCCATTTCAAACTCCCAACACAAGCAATAGTACTGAGATTTCTGTTTCTGAAATGTATTTTAAAATTCTTGGATTCAATGTGGGTATGGGTACCAGTTCCAATGAAATCCCATCAGTTTTTCTTAAAAACACCAGTTTCATTTCATCTTAAAATTTAAACTTTTGTTTGACAGATCTTTATTGGAAGGCTCCTTTTCTGAGGTAAGGAAGTCTTCCTATATTATTCCAATCTTTAAGCCTGGCAACAGAAGCAATATCTTTAATTATCTTCCAATTTCAATTTTAAGCAATATACCAAAACTTCATGAATCCATTGTTTCTGATAAATGGAAACTGTTAATCTGTCCTTTTCTGTCTGAAAGACAATTTGATTTTATAAGCAAAAGAGGTTATGATGCAAACATTGAATACTATACCCAATACATCTTGGAGTCACTCGAAAAGAATTGGCAAGTTGATTGCATCTATACAGATTTTAGCCAGGTTTTTTGATTCAATGAATTACATGTTACTAAGATAGAAATTTGCTATTTATAATGTTTATTAATGATTTATATCTTGTTCTTGATAATAAGGTGGAGTTTCTATTTTTCACAGATGATTGTAAACTTTTTAAATCAGCAGTTAAAGTGATGTTCTTTATTAACAAAATGCCTTCGACAAGTTAACTGTGTGGTGATCAAACAATTATCTTAATTTACATTGCATATTTCTATTGTGTAATAAAAAGTGCAAAGGCAGATTAACAAGATCCATAGAGAACTACGTCAATTGGATTATGAAGGAAGATGTGTTCCGTTTGTAAGATATGTGTACAACAGCTTGTTGCTGCCACCATTGATAAATATATAATAAATATACTGATAAGTGTTAGTGGAACTTTCACTAGATCAAGGTCAAGTACACTGTTTAACTATGATATTAACTATTAAAATAGGGTGTGTCTTACATATGCGAGATCTTAAGAGTTATTTTTGACTTGAAAATGTCATTTCTTGAGCACATTCAGTTCATTATAAATAAATAGAACAGACAACTGGGTTTTTCATTCGAAGAACTTGCGTTGGCTTTAATTCATTTCTTACTTTGAAAACTCAATACACTATGATTGTCAGACCTGTACTTATGTTTGTTGTTGTCCTGCCTATCAAGTTCACATTTAGTTTAAACCGTCCTTCAAACAGTTCAACACAGATTTTCCAGGATGTATTCTACGCATCAAGGATTGCCCGACCCATCCATTAATCATAATTACAGCAATATTGCAACTGCTTTGAACATTCCGTCTCTTAGAAATTATATGATATATTTTTGTTCAAGCTCATCAACTCACATATCGAGTGTATATTATTAAATCAGATTCAGTATAAAGTTACTCCGGCTACTATCAGAACCATATCTATTGTGTTACTATGTACAATAGTGTTATACTGCGAACAATCAATTAGATAGAATGTATAAATTATGGAATACATGTTACATTTGACATTGTTCATACGGATTATTATGCTTTTATTAGTACGGCAAAAGCTCATATTTTGCATTATAAATGAGTTTATATGCCACGATCATGTGAGTTAAATAAGTACATGATAAATGACTGTAAAAATATATAAATAATCATTACCTTTTCCTTGTTATAACAATGTTTTAATTTTTGTTATCTTGATTTTTGTACTTGTAAAGTTTGTTACTATGCATGTATCTTATTTTTTTGTAAAGGGTTCATCCCATTTATTGAAATAAAGATATAATTACACAACCATTATAATTGAGAGTGTCAGCACAATAGTGGCCTAACCCTCATTTTTGGGAAATTGGGTTATCTGTGATAATTACATCATCAATGTGTTATTGTTTGTTTGAGAGTGTGTGTGTGTGTGTACACCAATTACACACAGAGTAATACCAAAAAACAAGTTTTTGTACTCGGCTCATAATTACATTACTTTGTGCAATAGCAGCCTAAAAGGCATTGGCCTCAACTACACTATTAAAGACTGTCCTCACAGTATTTATGGGGATAGGAATTTGTTCAAACAGTAACAATATTTGTTTACTTTACACGTAAAATTTTAATTTATCTTCCAGAATAATTCATAAATAATATTAAAAGTTAATTCAACCAGGACTGTATTAACATCCATTCATGCCCTCCATTGCTTGTTGGTTGTGTGGATGCATATGGTAACCATGTATGAGATTAAGGGCCGAATTTATAGTCATCTCTTACACTGAGTTCCTGTAAGTGGACGAATCGTATTCATAAACAGCCCTTGAGTGAAATCTTAAGTGAGCACTCATTCCTATAAGCAAGGCAGCCTGCTCCCTTAAGTGTCTCTTATGGCTCCCTCGCATTGTCAGTCGTAACCAGTTTAGGTTAAACTACGCTGCATTCATCGACTATTGAATTCGTTTTGCCGGTGTTTGTATAGTGTAGTCATTTGTGAAATGTGTTATGGAAAATTACTTCAAAGATTATTTTGAGTTTTATACTCAACACATCCTGTGAAATTCAAAGAGATGTATTAGAGATATGAGCAATCCATTGGAAATTTAGAATGATGAACAATTCCGAAACTGGTTTCGTTTCAATAAAACTACTGTAGTGGATACACTTGTGCCGATCGACGAAAGTCCCAATGACTAAAAAAGGATTGCCGATTTCCCCCTTATTAAAAGTTCTTGTTGCATTAAGATGTTATGCAACTTCATCCTTTTAGGAATGATTCCAAAGTTTTAAACTTTTATTCATTTCTGATTTATTTCTGAAGACCTATTATAAGTTATGAATTTGCCATATGAATAACAAGTGTAGTCATTTAAATTGTTGTAAATGAAATTTATGTTAATACTATATAGGGTTGACGTTTTTAATTACATGAAATGTTAATAATCCATTACCAATATTGGCAGACTCATGTTCATACCATGCTACCATACCGCCACCTTATGTTCATTAGTTATACTAGAGCATAAGTTAACGTTGTTAACTTATATAAATAAGTTAACGAATCAATTGAAACTGGTGTTAAGTATTATATTACAATCCAATAATGCACATAAATAATGTGTAGAAATTCCACAAGACTTTGCAGAAATTCATTAAAATTTTGATACAATGCTCATGGATTATATTTTTTTTACGAATCATTTCGTATTATTAGGGATTTGTAATAAATATATTTTTAAAATATTAATATGTTACAAGTGTGAAATAGACATTGAAATTATATGAGAATCATAGATTATATTGTTACAAATCTGCTTGTTATTAGTGATTGGTAGTAATCACATTAATAAAATATTCCAATATCAAAACATCTTGCCTGTATGAGGACATATTAGAGGTAGAAGAAGTATTTCGTCATGCGTGCAATGTCAACTCTACGTTGGAGTGTCCGCCCCCTGTTAAATTGGGCGCTCTTTGTACAAGATGAAATACGTGTGTAAACTCAGTTGCCAAGAACTTTGAAACAGCTGCCATCAATGCCATTTTGCCACATTCCCCTTCCGCTTAAGGGAACACTCATTCCAATGAACTCTATGAAATACGAGTGCCTATAAGTGAACACTTTATTTTGAGAAAGCACTTATCACTTAAGGGTTTGCTTATCCTATAAGTGACGACTATGAATTCGGCCCCAAGATTAGGTTTCTTTGCTTAATGTGTAATAGTGACAAGTACTGAGAGATCTGTAGAAATAGATGAAAGAACTGGAAGTATAAAAGGTATGTACTGTATGAGCTATTTCATCCTATTTTTAGAGTATCCAATTTTAATTTTTAGGTTTCTTTCAGTAAAGTGCAAATTGGGACCAGAGTGCAACAATTCTGATAACGAAGAATCTAATGCACATGGCAAGGATGAAGTCCTTACTAATAAGACTTTACAGTGTTTTATCAGATACTACAGAATCTAGTCTGACTACATCCAGTTTTAGCATTTTAGTTGCAAAGCAGACGATTAAGAGAGAGAAAATGAGTGTACAAGGAACAATGTGGAAACGGAACATTCGAAAAGAAAAGCAAGCCAAGGATGAAAAACATGTAATGTAAAAAAGTTCCAAAAAGTTTCCCATGATTGGATAGTGTCTGTGTAACAATGATTGTCACGAGATTATCAGACCAGCACAAGCAAAAACCATCAGTGTTTCAACAATTTAGGAAGTTTTAACATGCAATCTGAATACATTTTTTCTATGGTGAAGCTTGTTCCTTCGTTGTGTTAATATGCCCACACTAGCGATTCAAGATGACAAAGAAAAAGAACATCTTTTCTACACAATAAAGATGGCCCGAAGTGGAAGTGTGTAATATGTATTTTATGATATGTAATATTTTGCAAATTTTGGATGGCAGAATTACGAGAGTTCAAAATAAAAGTATTTATTAGTCTTCACCTACTGACAGAAAGGGGAGTTTCTTTTATATAAATATTTAAAAAAATTATATTCTGAAGTAGGATGGCAAGATTGGGGAAACACACCGAAACTTAACATTATCTTATGTTCACTTCAAATAAGAACAAATAAAATACAGCAAAGTAGACGAGAATGTGGAAATTCATATTGATGCTTTTGTAACTATTATTCATCAACATATTTTATGAAATTATAGCTAATGTTTAATTTCCATGATAATATATTCTCCAAAACAAATTTCCATTCTGTTGCACTTTCTTAAAACTTGGAAGCAACAGGTAAGATATGAATTTGTTTGTCCTAATTAATTTTAACTATTATTCTGCAGACATCTCTCTCTAGGTAAATATTTTTCTTGTTTCCTAAGCAACATTTTTGATTAACTTAGTCCCTCAGGGGATATTTTTTCCTCTTTTTTATCCCACAGAATCTCTCATATGACATTGGTCAACAATTTACTAAGTGGAACAAATATTTTTATTCAAAATTAAAAATTAACTATAAATTTCATCAAAAAATTAAATATATATATGTAAAGTTACCAACAATGTTCTACATGAAGCGTGAACTTTGTTTCTCACCACTAATCAGCCAACAATTGATAAAAAAAAATATTTTACAATATTAAATAAGTTGTAAGTCAAGTCTTTACTTAGGTAATGACTGAAATTGTCCTCACATGTCAATGACAATGGCTGCTACTTAGCCAGTATTGATTTGCCACAGATAATATTCATATGCTTGAACAATTGCAGGATTAGTTTTGGGTATAGAATGTGTCTGGTATTAATGGAATATCCCCCCAGAAGTACAATGCTTGCTTATCAAATCATCTAAAAAATTTACAAGAAACGTTTCCTTGACTTCAATGGAAACCTTTTCTTTAATTCACTCCCCTTTTTTTCTTTCGATTAGAGACTGTTGTTAAATTAATAGAAAAAAGTAGAGGCCAATTACAATTTGTTTTAGTAAATAACATACACAGTAGGAAATTTTTAAAAGCTTCCTAGTAAAACTGTCACTAGTGTTGTTGGATTTTATGAATATCGTTTTTCAATCAATCTTTCTTCAGTAACATGTAGAATATACTACACACTCAGTAACTAAGGGTATTTACTGCCATCTGTATAGACATAATTTGATCAAATCACAAGAAACATACCCCAGGAATGTTGTGATCAGGTTCTCCAATTTCTTGATACTTTTGCAACCTAACGCAGAACGACACGATTCCTCAAATTTTGGGAGCCATGGGTATGACGTCTGCTCATTACTTCCTTCTTGGTTACTTGTGGCTGCCATTTTTTCCACTTTTAATTGATCATTATTTACACTTACATCAGCTCCATTCAAACAGGCATTAATTCCATTCACCAGTGCTGATACACCTGTTGTAAAATATTGTACAATTGCATGAGAACTAGATAGGCAATAAAAATTCCAAACATGCAACTTTCTTCATCCTTTAATATAAATAACTCTTAATTCTTGTAAATAACGTTATACTAAACACTTTTATATTACTCCCGAAATAACGTCTAACAAAAGTTCACAATGTTGCAATGTAGACATTTTATTCACACGATTTTACAACTTTAACCTTCAGAGGCAAAACTGCTTACAAAATCCAGGGCGCTAAAATGAATTGCAAAACTCCTACTCTATTTATTGCTTACAAGTTATCAAGTGAAAACAAAATTCGAAATGTAAACACTAGAAGGACAGCTATCGCAGACTAGTTTATAATCAGCAAGTCACGAACATAGAATTGAAATTTAAGAAAATGGTATATTCTTTCGACAAACAACTCTTTTCTAGAGACTGTTCATCAAGTGCAACATTCCTAGCTAATAACAACATATGAACAACATACGCCTTTTGTTGCAAGAAAATGGCAAATGGCCGATTCGTACTCACTGGTTCTGTTTTCTTCTCTCAAAAACAGCGTGTCCTGTGAACTTGACACCCGGGATTCTTGTGAATGCGTCATCCTCCTCGCCTATTGAACATTTAAAAATTAAAACATTTAATGAGGAAAAATATACTCCAAACACGAATATTACTACTCCCCCACTCGCTCATAGACCCCTGCATCCTCCATAGCAAGTCTGCCCTGATCACTTAGTACGGCTCGGGAAGACTCGTTTCACGTCATGGAAAATTTTCCATTAGACACACAAATAATAATCATGTTTAATGTAGGTAGAAAATAATAACATATTTAATAATAATACAATGCCCTTTTCCTAACTATCAAGGCGTAAAACAACAAAATTACTTCGCTACGCCCGACATTCTAGAATACCATCATGTCGGTAACAACATGTCGGATCAGGGAAGTGCTCATGTGAAAAAGTGAGCGAAAATACTACAGCGCGTGAATAAAGAGACTTTCTGACTTCTCCTTTTAACCCTGCATCAGATGATTCACGTCTGTTTGATGAGTTTACAACAAAATAGCGTCGATATAAAGAACATGCAAAATGGAAAATCACCAAAGGGAAACGTCAGTACCAAAGCAGAGAATTAGGAAGTAATAGTAGACATCAAGAAATGCTTTCATTGTCAATTACTGTTAAGAACATACGTTTCAAAGTATCCTGAGAATAATTAGAATTTAAACATATCTCTCCATAACGTTATTACTCACTTATTCGTATTGCTAATTCATGGTAATCGCATCCTTCCTATAATCGTTGATAGAACGAAATTAAATCATTAAATTTAGTTTACTCACTTCATACGTTTCTATGTAGCGCATTGTGGTTGAATATACCATTCTTTATATGTACAAATAATCACCTACACGACACACTCGCTAAACATCAGCCACATACACCTTGCACACGAAGAAATACATTACAGTGTGACCACTATTTCAAACACAAAAATGATATACAAGAGTGAAGTACAATATAATAGTTACATTCTTTAGTTCCTAATATAATTACTCATTTAAGCGTTCAATACCAATACCTGAAACAAAATTATTCACATTTGATAATATTTTTATTAATTATGTGAAAATACCACAACTCTCAATAGCCGATCAATAGTTCGACGGTCGCGCGGGAAATTAAATTTTGTCCTTGATAATGACCGCCATTCATCGAATTGTAGAAATAAGGAGTTAGGACTAATTTGCTAAAAATTCGATGTCTAATAAGTTTGTTAAAAACATCAAAATGTGTAACTAGGAACTTACAGTCTCATTACCACACGCATCTAGGTGCATAACAATATAGTGCATATTATAATGCTAATATATTCACCTTCTACAATGCGAAACCAAAGCGCGCCCCGATTCCTGTCGTTCCATTTCTTCAAACTGCTTGCCATTATTATACTGTAGAAAAAACTAACATTTGTTTCCTTCCTCTCTAGCTCTAACCTAGTCTTTACGGCAAATTGCAACTTATCGGATAAACCTGGTTTTGTTATTTAAATTTTCAGACATTAGCAATTAGACACATTTAAGATTCATGAAGGATATGTACTGAAATACATTTAGATTTTTAGATTTATTTAGTCAAAAAACAGTAAAAACTGTGTGACGTAAGGGAAAGATCATCTGCGCACGTTTTCTTGAGTTCCAGAATTCTTTCCCATCATTTTAACTCAAAATAGTGAAAGGATCAGTATAAGTTAAAGATAAATAAATAACAATAAAATTTAAAAAGCATGATATTGGCAACATTTGAAAAACATTAGACATTTTCGTTCCCGATAAACATTTTTTTTTTTTATGATCACTATGGTCTCTTAATTGTATAGAACCAGTTATGAAGCAGAAAAGATTTTACTTTAAACTTGAATTTGTGTACCGACTTCAATTGTTTAATGTCATCTGGAAATGTGTTGTAAAGTAACATACATGGATTGTATGTGGATTTCTGGTAGTGAGCTGTTAACACAGACACTTGATATCTGTGATTTCTACGACATATGTAATTATAAATATCAGTATTGCATGAAAATATGTCCCCATCGTTAAGTCAGTTTTGATAAATATTTCAGTTTCTTAAATAAATAGGCACGGCAATGGTAAGATTCCAAGATCAATGAAGAGAGGCTTGCAGGGATCACGTGGATGGCATTTGTTCATTATAACATTATTTCACTAACACTGTTTTTTATTATTGTTATTATTATCATTATTGGAAGGAGAAATGCCCTCATATTCCCACCAACAATTGTCTGGAAGCCAAAGATCATTTATATTATTTATTATGTGTTTCTTGTTGAAAATATGATGCAATTTATCACATGTTTGTTATAATTTGTATTTTTACAGTGTCTTTGGCTTCTGATAAAAAAAGAAATCAAAACTATTTGCTTGAAAATTGAACATTTAGAAAACTTTCTTGAAATATTTGCAATACTTTAGGTATAATTTATTTTAATGTATTACTGTGTTATAGGTTTTGTCAAAGAACAAATTTTGATGTGAGCAACTCATTTTTCTGTTTACAGAGCTAGTAAAATGAATGATTTTGTTTAAATGAATGCGCATACTCATGTCTGGTTTTTAGGGCAGATCATAAAAAAAATTGCTTTACATTACCAACATTTTGACCCTTTTATTCAGCTAATCAGTTAATTGTTATTTATTCATTTAAAATATTATTATTATTATTATTATTATCATTATTATTATCACACGTTTATTAATTTATTAAAATCATCAATAAAATTCAAATTTAATTGGTGGGTTCAGAAGATGCTTGCTCCCTTCCTCCTTGGCAATGGATGGGATGCTTTCTGTTTTAGAATTGTTAGGATTAACTTGAAGCATTCCAAGTGGAAGATGAGAATAATCCATTTTCGAGAAATAAATGAAACAAGTTTGAACAAAATGAAGACACAAGTTTGAAACAAATGAAACAAACGTAATCCATTTGTAATGCAAATAAGTTTTCTATTGCAGGAGAATGAATAATTCTAGTTTTAAAATGTTGCCAACCATTGTTGTTGGGGCCTTTACTAATAATTCAATGCTTATTAGTATACTTCTCCCTCACAAAACACAAACAATTTTCACTAAATAAATAAATAAATAAAACAAAACTTGTTCACATTGATGGTGTATTTTTTCATAAATGAAAAACTGATTTTTAACAAATTTTTACTACTAATACTTATAATAATAATAATAATAATAATAATAATAATAATAATAATAATAATAATTATTATTATTATTATTATTATAAATTAAAATGTTATGCAAACAAACTTTAGTTTAATGGCACGTTTACTGCAGTATAACAATGATCAGTCTGTTATAAAACATAAGAATTCCAAGATCTTTAATTAACAAAATTTGTGTCATTTACAAACAAATTTCATGCACAGGGCAACTCTTTAAATTTTTTATAGTCCTTTTCATAAATACATTGATCAGCAACTTCTGCTTGATAACACATGCAAACCAATTTATAATTAGGTTGATTTAAGAAAGAAAACATTCACATCTTTTAATAACTTCGTATCAAAAATACATGCGAAATGAAACTTATACAACTCCCTTGACAACTTAAACCACTTTCATTTTTCAGTAAACTCGTTTAAACTGAAACTTTCAATAACTTTTTTAACCACAATTAATACATAAGATAATTTTAACAAAATGAATAAAAACAAAACAAAATCATTTCTTACTTCTATAATGATATTACACAATTCTTTGAAACTCCAAATTATATCTACTTAACAATAGAACATTGCAGATTTGCTTCAAAATAAAGAATCACCTCTCATTCAAATTCCACCATTAATTACAATGCGATTTACAATTACAATTAATAGAAGGGGAATATTATAATGCTTGCTCTCTTAAATCAGGTTACTCAATATAATAAAGAGCCACTTCTTTTAATTTACTGGATCAAGAAAAATAATGCATAAGTATGCATATTCACATTAAAAAGAGTCAAGTCTTAAATTCACAATGAAGGAAATGTTTCAAATAACTTGCACATTTTACACAATTTGAAATATTTATTCAAAGAATGAGTTTTTAGCATTTTCCCCACATTTTCACAATACTTAACTAGACTTTTACATACAAAACCGTCCATAATTGTATCAACTACAACTTCTTTGGAGAAACAAAAATTTCATATTTGTTTACAAAAATATACTATTAGGTAATACTATTTTTAGCCCATTGTTTGACTTCAGTAGGTAAATTTTGATAATTTTCAATGCCTACTAGTATCTCATTTGGAAAGAGAGCTAGCCTGAACATTTGATACTCTTTCAGATTTGAGAGATTTGCACCTTTCACAGGTATGATTAATTCTAGGTTTGCAATATTTTCAAAAGCTTTCATAATCACAGAACGATCAGTTGTATAATCAAGAGAATTTTGATTAATGAATTTAAAATACATTCGGAGTAGCATTTCAAAATTAAATGGTTCCTCATCATATATTTCAGAGTGTTGTTTCATTGCAATTACAAGGCATAATTCAAGAACTGATAAACTTTCTAGAATTTTACATTTTCCATCTTGCAGCATCAAGTTGAATACTTCTTTAAAATCTGATAAAGACAAAGATCTATGACCATTTTTCAATCTGGATACTACCAAAACCAAAAACATGCATAAATGCTTTCCTGAAATATTAATATGATTTAGATACTCAACTATAGATAGTAATTCACTTGAATTACATAGTGATTCCACTTCATTATTCCAAGCATGCACTACTGATGGTTCAAACTTCAAATTTCCTAAATGAGGCAAACTGAGCAATTCTTGACAATGACACAAAAGTTCTTGCAATCCAGATTTCTCTCTTTTAGGGAATAAGTAAATTTGTCGATTAGAAAACCTTGACTTAACTCTCTTTTCCAACAATTCTACAACATCAAGTCTGGAAGTCAATCCCACAACACACAATGGAGCTTCAGCTGATTGTGCAACATCAAATAAATTATACAAAAGGGTTTGTCTTGAGCGACAACAAAACAGGTCAAACTCTTCTAATATCATGATAGTTGATTTAGTCTTCTCCCGATTACCAGTTTTTAAACAAGCAAGAAAAAAAGACAAGTTTTCTGCCAAAGATCCAAATGTTCGTCCTTCACATACATTACTCAAATTCATCTGGCAAGCTATTGCCTTCAATGACACGGAATCATCAGTATGAATCAGTCCATTTAAATACACTATGACAGCTGATTCTTGAAATTGCTTCTGATGTTCAAGTTCTGATAAAACATTCTTCACTATCATAGATTTCCCACTTGATCTGGGACCAATTACAAGAGCAGAATTACTTTCACCATTGTTCACAGTTCTTTCAAATAAATTTTTTAGTTGTATCTTCTCCTTTCTGTGTTGATGTAGACCAGGTGCAAGTTTCAACAACCTGCATTTGATATATTCTCTGCAGGCAGCAAGGCTGGTATCCTCAACCACATTCATCTTGAAAAAAATACTGAACACACAAAAGAATGGGCATAGCAATTACTAAAAGTTAGTAACGCTAAATGTAATACTACACCATAAAAGTAATTATTTATACATTAGGTGCTATACTACTACAGTAAAGATCAAAATTAATATTCATATATTATTATGAATACATAGATGAAAATCCTTTAATACAATGATCCTACATTTCATGTTCACAAAGAAACACAACTAAAATTTTCTGTCAGTTATACCAACTTAGGTTTTATGGCATACTTCAACTTGATGCAGTAGTTATAACATTATCCATATAAAATAAGTTAAAAATATTTAAAAGACATTTTGAGAATAACTAGTACACCAAAAAATATTTTTGCCAAACAAATGGTCCCAAAATGCAAATAAAGCAACTATCCACAAAGCCCAAAAAACACTTGTAAACA